AAGAAAAAAATTGTAAATGGAAGATTATAAGAGAGGGTTTTGCGTGCCAGCAAAAGTTACTGGCGTGCCATGTTTGGCACGCGTGCCAGGGGTTGCCCACCCCTGTCCTAGGGACTCTTTAACTTTTGTTCAAATCTTGACATAGAAGGAAAAGGCAGAGAGCGAGCTGGAGGCAGGTGGTCAGTAAAAGGGTAGCGTGTGGGGATGGAAAGGCTAACAGAAGGGTCACCCAAAGTCAGTGTTGAGGGACTGTAGGGTATCGTAAATGATGCTCCTGAGGTCACAGTTCCCATTGCCAAATGCATTTTAAACCATCCCCCCGCTGTTAAAGCATGCAGATAGAAACAGTAGACACGTGGGCTCACACAAAGAAACATGCAAAGCCCACAAAAGGACATGCAGACACACACACTCCTGGGTACGGTTTCCTCTGAACTGCTACAAACAGGCTGTAACTTTTCTCTGTGGGCCTGTCTGGAGGCTCAGAGCTGGACACTGTCAGAGGAAGTGGAACTTTGAGGCCAACTCAGACTAATCCCAGGAGAGACGAGTGTGGGCCCTGAGCTTCTCTGGCCTCAGAGATGGCACCGAGGCTGGCTGCTGCACAGCCCCGGCCTGTGGGGAGCTCCAGGCCACCCGGGGCCCCCTGGCTCAGGCCCAGCCTGACTCACCTAGGCTCTGTATCAGTAGGTCTGGGGTGACACATTTGTATTTCTCACAAGGCCCTAGGTCAGTGGTTCTCAACCTTCTGGCCCTTTAAATACAGTTCCTCATGTTGTGTCCCAACCATAAAATTATCTGGTTTCTACTTCATAACTGTAATGTTGCTACTGTTATGAATCGTAATGTAAATATCTGATATGCAGGATGGTCTTAGGCGACCCCTGTGAAAGGGTCGTTCAACCGCCAAAGGGGTCGCGACCCACAGGTTGAGAACCGCTGCCCTAGGTGATGCTGATGCTGATGCTGATGGTCCAGGTACCACACTTTGAGCACCCGTGTGCAAGGCTGCATGCAAGCTGTCAGAGCCAACAAGGGTTCTGTCTGTCCCTTTTACCAATGCCTTCCTAGCAAGTAAGCAGTGACTATTCATCAATCAATAAATAAATGAATGGATTTCACAGGAAGAGCCTCAATTTTTCTTTATATAACACAGGTAGTCTCTCGTGTCCTCCACCATTGATATTGCATGACTAGATCCCTGGGGCAAGGGAAAGACATACTCAGAGCCAGGCCCTGTATTTGTGGTGCCCACTATAGTGCTAGAGTTGTGGGGCCCTCTGGGGTTGTGGCCCTTGAGGAGGAAGTCACTGGATCAGACCTTCAGGACCCAGATCAGAGCTGCCTCCCTTTCATCTTGGTGGCCTCAGGTACTCTCTCCCTCTGGGGAAGGGATCTCCTCGGGAACACTAGTTCCCCAGCCAGTACTTGTCATCTGAAGGGAGTGTAAGGAAGCGACACCCCTGGCTCTCCTGCTCCTCCAAGCTCCACCTTCATGCTGCCAAGACCAACGTGCCTAATGGGATTTGGGAGCAATAGAGGAATGAAGAGTCAGCCTCAGATGCTCCCTTTTCTAGTATGTCCCCAAAACACAGCAGATAGTTTATTCTGAAATACAGAAGAGTGTATCCTGTGCAGAGTATCTCAGAGAGGCTAGGAGGGATCCCTTCTCTGTGCCTCTGACTCCATAGAGGTCACATGGCAGTGACTATGGCCCCAGAGCACAGCTGGGTGACCTGACCAATTCGGACTTGAAGATCTTTACCCCTAGGCTAAGGAGCAAGAGCTATCCTCCTAGATTCCTCATTCCTTGTGTTTTTTCATCCATCCTTTCTCAGCAGGGGCCAGGGACACTGAGGGGACACAGAAAACCCACAAAGCAGACCGCCTGGTCTAATCTAAAGAAAATTCAGCCGTGGGTC